GGCGCACGACTTATTCGTCCTGTCACTTGGTATCATAAAAAAGCCATTGCGCGAAAATGAATGAGCCTTTCGGCGTATTTTACGTGATAGCTGCTGTAATAATAAATGCTCAGATTTCATGCAAATTTTCTTTAGCTCTCCCGGAACCGCGTTTATGAATAAAAAAACATTATCAGAAAATGTGGAAAACTGGTGAACCATGAATTGCTAATGAAAATACCTATTTTCCTTGCTTAGTAATACTTAATTGTATGAAGCCTTTCAATACACATTTACCAAAGCGATAGAGAATAATTTTATTAGTATGTAGAAAAAGCTTTAATATTTACAAAATATTAACTTAATTCTTTTCCACTTAAAAGTATTATAAAAAAGAAAAACAAAAAATCAGCAAAATCATGATTTTACAGTAGAACGAGTTAATTATGAATATCCTTCAAATATTAGTTTTTTATAAGCCGCATTGCTAAAAATTTTACCTAATTCAGATTGTTACATCAGAAAATATCAAGATTTTACTTTCAAAACGCTGTACTGTAAAATCGTGGCTTTGCAGATAACCGGTTACTCTTTGCTGTCGTCGATATTTAGATTATTCGCATTCTGCAATTAATTGTACAAATATTTCGACACATAACATGGTTTTAATTATTAAACCACTTATTTGTATGTGATACATAGATTATAAAGGTACAAGAATAGATTTTGTATCACTGTGATTCGCCTTGCGAAGCATAAAGTTTTCATAAATTATTATGTAGACACCGATGCAATAATTTGTACACCATTGGCTTGGTAATGTACATGCCTACAACCTAATACAAATAAATCATAGTAACAATAATAAAATATAACAATATCAAATTTAATCAGTCTACTAGTTAAAAATAGCGAGAACAAGTGAAATACAATGTACATTTTATAAGAAACCTTCAATATTGTAGAATGTGATATCGTTGAATAATTGAGTAAAATTTCTTAAATTCTGCACAGATATTGCAATTCACAATTTCACGTGGAAGTTTGTGGTAAATCTGTGAAACTTTAATTCTCACACTCTCTTGAAGTTTAAACCAGTTTGCATTTGGTCAGAACGGCGTGCCCGTGTGACGAATTGAAATGAATTTGGATAACTCTTTACTAAGTGAAATTAAATGTATTATGATTATTTTTAAAAGTGAAATTTGAAATACGAATTACGTGACTCAAGTTCAAAAAAAAATTTTTTCGGAACTTATTTTAGTTTTTTTAATTTAGAGCTCCATAATAAGCAATTGACGTTACGTTTTAAAATTAGCGCGAAAAGTAAAAAGTTAGGTGGCTCGACATATTTTTTGAAGATGAAGAAGTCGGAATTTCGAGTATTCCGTTTCTCATCTGCAATCGAAACATCAAAATTTGCCGGATTATGATACGAACTATTGTCACACCTCCGTATTCACTAGATTTGGCCCAATATGACATTTTATCTGATTTTTTACCGATTTGTAACGAATGAGGAAGTGATAAGCTGAAACAGTGGCTTATTTTTTAGTTTGACAAAAATATTTTTTTGATGGGTTGAAGAAGTAGGGATATCTCTGGTCAAGGTGTCTAGATTAAATGGAGATTACATAGAATATAAACCATAATAAAAAAAGAAAATGGCTTTTATTTCTATTCAAAGTATCAGACTTGTCAAACCGTATATAAGGACGGTAGTTTACAATGGGGTTATCAACTGTATGTTTTTCTCAAGCTGCATAGTTTGAGCTTTGTAATCAAAGTGCGCTTAATGTACTGTGCATTTCCCTAAAAAATATTACATACCTAAGGTTGTTTGGTACATCACAATGGCAGGCGGGCACGAAAGTGTTTAGGTATACTATTTTTGATAGTACGTATTGTAGATGTGTTTGTCATTTTAGATTATTTTCTAAGCATAAACCTGTAAATGTTACAGTTATTGTTTAACTTACCTCCCTGCTTTCCAAGACCATTCTAGTAAGTAAGGGTTTCTTATTTCTTTCATTAAAGTTAATTTTTGTTTTGTCAACATTTACAAGTAGGTTATTTGTATCTTGTAGCCATTCAATTATACAATTCAAACTTGTATTTATGTTTGTTTCATTTTATAATTTAAGTAAATATAAATAAATAAAAAATCATTTATTGTCTCCACAAACAGTGCTTGTAAAAATAAAAATAGATGCTTTACGTAACGTCAAAATATAATCTGGTTGTGGAGGCTGGTCCCTGAACTAGGAGAACCTGTATCAGTGTGTGTGCGTGCGTGCGTGCGTGTGTGCGTGTGTGTGTGATAGTTTGTATTATAATTGTTATCAACAACATATTAACTATTGTGATAATTAATATTTATTGATTAATATTAGGAAGGTATAGTTAGAAGACTTTCAGTTTCATCATATGTAATTAAAATGTTTAAGCCAAATTACTATCTGTTACTTGCATTGGTATTTCGTTAGTGGATATATTTCTAGTAAACTATTTACTTTGGTATACAGATGTGGGCCCATGAAGTGAGCGAAACGCTTTCCAAAGGAAGTTTTAATAGGGCCGCGTCTAATGACTATATCTTTTCTTCGTTTCGTTTTGTAGTATGGGTCGTAGGTCATGTAAGAATACTGCCGAAGGAGATTATGCAAGATGTAAATTTGCCGGACAGTGAGAACATCACAAGATTTATATAATTCCGATGTGGGGAACAGGAATGGGCGAAAAGTAGCCACTTTTAAGACGGCTCTTTGGGCTCTTTCCAAAATTAGTAGATTCTGTTTTGATGCGCCTCCCCAGATATTGATGCTGTAAGATATTATGGATTCACGTAGAGCCCCATAAACAAGTTTTAGAAATTTGGGATTTGCAATACATCGTTGTTTTTTAAAAATAAAAATTCGTTTTCTCACTCTTGCAGCGAGTTTGGTTATGTGCGAGTTAAAGCGTAGATGTTTATCGATGATTACACCAAGATACTTAATCCCTGGTACTTCTTCCAAGATGGAACAAGAGCAACTCTGAGAATAAGGATCGAGACAGGAATGAGCATTTATATTGACATTAGGCGGTGGACGATTTATGTTGCGTATGCTAAAAGCTATATATTTAGTCTTGTTAGTATTAAGGCTAAGTGAGTTATAATTAAGCCAGCCCATAACCTTGTGAAGGCCTAGTTGAGCATACTTGAAAGCCTCATCCCAAGTATCTCCTGTGAAAGTCAGTGCAGCGTCGTCTGCAAATGCTATGATTTTGCCGTTAGTAAGGACCATATCACAGAGTTCGTTGATAAAAGACAGGAAGAGCGTCGGACCCAGCACACTACCGTGAGGCATATCGTAAGTGACAGGTTGTTCGTCACTCAACACGTTACCCAGTTTTACTACTTGAACTCTGTCCGTTAGATAATTTTGAAAAAGCTTGAACTGTGTTCTTATTCCCAGATTTTCCAGTTTACTCATAAGTCTTGGATTCGAAACCGTGTCGAAAGCCTTCGCCAAGTCTAGAAAAACAGTAATTACTCCCTCATCTAGCCCTTTAACTATGGTATTGGTTAAGCCTTCAATAGCATCTGCGGTTGATTTAGTTGATCTGAAACCGTATTGCTGTTCGGATAGTAATTTATTATTTTCAATTTATTTATTATTTCCAAATAGCTGCTGAAAGAGACTCGCTATATTTCAGCTAAAATTTGGCACGTGGAGGCCTCTAGAAGTGCCAGATAATAATTTCTGCTCGAAGTTGGTTTTTCGCCATTTTCAAATATGGCCGCCATACAAGCATTTGTTGGCAGTACAAAAAAATTGTCCTGATCCCTTTGAAAGTTGTCATGTGGGGGTCTCTAGGAGTGCTTGATAATAATTTGTGATCAACATTAGTTTATCGCCATTTTTGAATATGGCTGCCATGGAAGTGTTTTTTAGCGGCAGATGAAAATTTGCTCTAATTCGATTGAAAATCAACATTTGGGGTTTAATAATATTTTGCGGCCAAAACTTATTTTTCGCCATTTTATAATATGGCTGCTATAAAAATTTTTTGGCGGCATATGGATATTTAGCTGAACATCGGAGAACATGTGGAGATCTCTATGGGTGTTTAATAATAACTTGCAGTAAAAATTTACTTTTTGCCATTTGTCAATATGGCCGCCCTTAAAGTGCTATGGTAACTATTTTAAAGTCATAAGTGCCGAGGCCGTAGGCCGAGGTGTAGTGGAGGGCGAAGCCCGAAGCCTCTGCACGCCACCATATGTAGGTAGGTAGTATACGGAGACACTATTACGGTACAAGATTTCACAATTGTTCAAAATGTGAGGCATACTTCCCGATGTAGTGCAAATAAGATACTTATAGCGTTATTGTATCTCGACCGTCTCTCTGTTAGATTCTTTCTTGGAAGCTATGCCAAAAAGAGAAGTATTTAAGGAAAAAATGTCAGACAATCACTCTAAATTTCTGATATCAAACTAGGGAATATCCTGTACTATGAGTACCAGAGTAACGATAATTCTGAGGGCAATACTCAGAATACTCTGACCAGAACCAATTTAAAATTATTTTTTGGCTCAAATCAGGGATCGAATCTTGAACCTCCTCATCAAGCGCCCATAGTACTCAATCATTGTGCCATCGAAGAGTGTAAGCACACCCGGTAATCTGAAAGCGACCACGCGCCGCAGGCCGAGCCCGACCCCACCTACGGTGGGGTATAGGGCTCGTAAATAATATCCGTGTACCAAAAGTGACACAACAGTCACCGTTGCTGTCGACCTCGGCGACTATTAGAAGATATTATCCACGTACAAAAAATTTCGCTAAAAAAAAACAATTTAATGAACAACTCATTATAACGTTTCCGCCTTAATTTTTATTCGTCTGTTTATTTATCGTAATTTTCAAGACTTTCGTTTACTTTTGAAATAGTTCTTGGACGTTGATTTTCGTTTCTATATCTGCTTTAATTTCAATAAAATGTGTGTATAAAAATGATATTGCTTGTTACAGGTACTCATGAGTAGGCGGTACCGCATCTGACTTGTGATATTTGGTTGTCCTTTATCCCAGCGCCGATGACCAGGCAAGTCTGGCATAGAGTGGACCGCGAGCATGGCGAACGAAACAGACGTATATTGCGTGCCCGGTGCCATCGACTTCAACCAGGCCTACAGCCGTCTCCACGGCTACATCGCCCTCGTCATCTGCATCGTCGGTTCCGCTACCAATTCTATCAACATCGCTGTCCTCAGCCGCCGCGAGATGACCAGCTCAACAAATTCTATCCTCACTGGACTTGCAGTAGCAGATCTCCTCGTTATGCTCGAATACATACCCTACGCTTTACACATGAACATAAAAATTGGGCCCCAAGTTAACAAGAATACATACGCCTGGGCATGCTTCGTGTACTTTCATTCCATCTTCAGTCAGACCTTCCACACGATCTCAATATGGCTTGCTGTAACTCTCGCGGTGTGGCGATACGTTGCCATTGCGTTCCCTCAAAAAAACAGGACTTGGTGTAACAAGAGGAACACTTTCCTCGCAATTGTAAGTGCTTATGTGATATGCCCGTTTTTGTGTCTTCCTATTTATTTCGCCATGAATATAGTGCAAAGTGAATTAACACCTCAAAATAATTCCCAATTCGCGGAGGACCTGGATTTACCGAATAATCGGACCGTTTATGTTTTAGAAATGTCAAAAAACCAACAGTTAGTGACTGCGATAATGTGGATATATAGTGTTATATTAAAACTTGTACCGAGTTTGGCACTATCAATACTAAGTACGTGTTTAATATCAAAGTTAACTACAACTGAGAGGAGACGACAGAACTTACTCAAGCGATCTACAGTCAGCCCCAATGAGGTAAGTTGCAAATTCATTTCACTTGTTTAAACCTTTGATTAAAATATTTGCACCGACAGCATGAATCCCTTGTATTTTTTTCAGGGCGAGAGAATGAACAGTAATTTTTCGTTTAAAATATACTACAGTCAGTGTTCTAACCCCTTTCGTAGAGTCTTTTGAATATTTATTTATATTAGGTATTAGCCATTGACTTTTTGCAAGTCAATGGTATCAGCTAAATAAAAATATATTGCATATTTAAAATTCTAATATAAATATAATATTTATTTAGTTATAATCATTGACTTACAATTATATGGACGTCGGGTCCGCGCTAAAAAGTGTCCGCACTTGTAAGGCGCTAAAGTCGTATACAGAGCGCGACACTCCGCTTTAGTCTTCATTTGTTCTACGGACAGCGCGATACTGCGATGACATAACAATTTAAATTTCGAATAGGTTGACTTGGGACATTTTTTTCGTGGTTTTTGTATTAGACCCGTCGTCCATTTATTTGTAAGTCAATGGTTATAATAGATTTTTTTAAATAATTTTTTCATGACTGGATTATACATAATGCGATAGTAAGCTACATATGAAATATTTGCCTACAAGTAAAGAAATCTATATATTTTCATAGCATATTACAAACAAAGTTACCCTTGTAAGTTCACTCAAAGAACAAAAGAATATGTCTACATTATTAGCCACCAAATTAAGAATGTAAAGCGTGCGTGTCAACGGCGCCTTGTTCAGCAGGTTGATCCTGGCGCGCGGTACGGCCAGCAGATGCGGCCGCCGCCGATGCCACACGTATCCGTCCGGAACAGACATGCCTATTCGCTTTACAAGGCCTGGATTGGAAATCTTTCCTCTAAAAAGTTTAAAAATATAGGATACCAATAAAAGTTCCTGCCTGATTTTAAGTGTATTATAGCCAACCATTCCTCAAACAAATAGGCTTGTGTGCATCAGAGGGCAATACGGGTAAACGCCGTTTTGCTTCATATAGAGGTTCCTAGTGAATTTATTTTGCACCCTCTCCAACAAGACCACACATTTCCATTCATGCGGGCCCCATATGACCGCATTACACTCAAGCTGGCTCCTAACCATAGCGTTATATAAGGCGATTATCGCTTTAATATTTGTGAAGCCATGACCCCTATGAAGAATAAAGCCGAGATTTCTGTACGTTTTTTTACATACCCTAATAATATGATCTCGGAAGGTTAGGTCTGTATTCAGTAGGTATAATTCCTAAATCCTTGACTTTGGTCACTCTAGCTATAGGAGTCCTCTCAAGTAATTATGCCTAACAGGTGAGTGCGCGACTTAAGGAAAGTAAAAGTCTTACGAGAGTTAGTTTATTGTATAGTCTGTAGTCAATGTGTAATGGTACAAGAACAATCTAGAGTATTACTACAATGAAGCTTATATAATAATTAAAGTAACGATGCACGCGCTAAAAGTTGCAATTCTAAAATTTAATAACTAAGGAAATAAAAAGTGCAAACTCTACTAATCTAGGTAAAACAAACATCTGAGGATGCTGAGGCAGCATCCTTAACTCGCGAGGGAGAAAGTGATTGTCACACACTTCGAGGTGTTAAATTGCAACTGGTCTCCCTTATTCCAATTCACTACTCTGTTCATGTCCTCCTGCAATCTACCTCAGTCTTCAGAGTTTTGTAAGGGAAAATACAGCTTAAGGTCGTCAGCAAATAACAAACATTTCGCGTCCTTGACAACTTTCGCCAGATCGTTTATCATTATTACAAACTCCAGCAGTCCGAGGTTACTTCCCTAGCTATCACCTGACCTGGTGAAATAAGGGTCTTGTGAATAGGGACTTGTGTCCACCGTATTCAACGTACTGCTGTAGTACAATATGGTATATGAAAATTTGTAAATAGAAAATTTCCTCGGGGGCCGTACCCTGGGACATCGTGCCGAGAAGGCTGGCAACATTTCCCCTTTAAACAGCTAAACTTATTCTTTGGCTGAAATTACTGCCAAGTTTGTGGTCGCTGGAGGTTTCTACGAGTCGATCCAATAGCTCCTCCGCTAGAAGTTTCGCTTGTGGCCCCAAGGACCCAAGGTTTCAAATAACACGCCAATCTTGCTCAGTGCTACAACTTTGTGCCTCTTGCGGATCTCAGCTCTTGCGGATCGGATTTCTGGTGACAGAGCTTCCGCCGCCCACGCTTGCAAGGTCATGGGAGGGGGATACAGTGTCCGCATCCCTAGCTGTCTCCTTAATTTCCATGGATCGTCTGTTATACCGTCAGGCCATGTCAGTGGGCAAACTGTCGGGATCTTAGCTCTGACCCGTATTTCGTGACTTATATTATATAGCTAGTTTATATTTCGTGGTTTATTATTTTCGACCACTGTAAACGACCCTATAAAACGAGTGTTTATAGCTGCCCCGTAATAAACATAATTTTATAGCTATTCGCTGTCAATTGCACGCAACGTTATTCTACTTTGATAGTCAGAATAGGTATAAACAGGTGGATGCTGCCATCAGCCTTCAAATATATTTACGATTCCTTGCATCTTTTATAGAGCCATTTAACTCAATTTGTATAAAGAAATGTATCTCGAATTGTTTTCACTATTATATCTGTTACACACAAAAATGGAGTGTAGTTATGTGCAGCCGTTGTTTTAGCGGGAATTGTTTATGTATTGTCTTTCGTTACGGTGCAAATTTATATCGTGATTTTCCAGTGTCGCTGGCTGATTTTGAATAGCGTTTCACGCCAGTAATTATTGTTCAATACCAGTCACATTCTTTGTCTAGGTAGATAAGTAAGCTTTAAGTAGCATAGCTGCTGTTCCCAATTATGTAGGTACTTCGTTCGTGACAGGTTTCAGAGCCAATCAAGCTTGACACTTAAAATATCAATTATATTCTATGTCGCTTACGTTTAGAACGGTTCAAAAGTCAGTGTCAAGTTTGATGTGCACTTAACTGTCCTAAATTAATAGTAAATAATTTCCTACTTAATAAATACTAGTCTTCATCTACCAAAGCTAAACAATTTTGATGAAGAGTGACGTTGTCTGCCCTTAGAATCTTTAACATCAAATGTTTATTGTGAAATGGGTTTGGGATGATGTGGATTAATCTCCCTAATTTTAATTAAATATTAAACTTTTAATTGTGTACATATAAACTTGAAAAAATAAATAAAAGCCATGTTAACCTAAGGGTTTGCCTTACAGCCTCTCAAGCAGAGACCGTGCCTTCGAATCCGGTCACGCATTTATGTGCAAATGTAAAATTTAATTTTAAATTTGCCATGAGGTTTTCGGTGAAGGAAAACATCGTGATGAAACGTGTACGTCGAAGAAGGTTCACAATTTACCGAAAACGTGCGAAGTCCCAAACCCGCATTGGGCCAGCATGGCGGACTATGGCCTATACCCGCGCCTAAGAGGAGACCCGTGCCCAACAGTGGGACCCACTTTTTCATTAAAACGGATCGGAGAACTACTATTACGTTTCAAAAACCAATAGTTTTTACTTTAATCTCGCATTCGAAAAGCTTTGCTTTTATAAGAATCTATAATTATAGTATATATACAGGGTGTAATCGTTAAGTGTGTCCAGGCGATTATTCCATAAATATAAGAGATATCATAAAGCATTAAACTAATATCGAAAATAGGTCACCTATTGAGTATTCGACATCAACAACTTTTAAAAATAAAACTAGAAATATCCAAAATCTTAACGTTTTAACTCCCATACCTTTAATATGACATTTGTAGGGAGACGTTGATCTACTTTAAGAGGCAATAAATAAGTTTAAAGATAATAAAACTGCTATAAATAACGTAACAAAACTATCTTTCAATTGAATAAAAGTACAATGGCACAGTTAAAAATTATTTGATGAATATTTTTGTTAGTGCTGATCGACTCAGTTTCATGTAAGGATCAATTTCATTGTATGGGACGAAAAAAGTCGGTACAGCAGAGGATGGTCAAAAATAAAATTTTCGTACAGAATGAATGAAATTGACAATTTTTTTCGCATTTTCTTATAAGAATTATTTCATTGTATTAAAAGAAAAGAATCGGGGCAGCAGAAGTCAAATTTAATAAAATGTTGTTCATTTGTATGAAGAAACTTTTTTATTAAATTTGACTAACATCTGCTGTCCCGATTTTTTTCATGTCATACAATGAAATGATCCTTACACGAAAATGAGTCGATAAGTAATTAAAAAAAATTGATCAGTTTTATTCATTTTATGGATAATTCACATATGACCAAATAATTGACTATGCCATTATATTTTTATTCAATCATAAGATAGTTTTATTATTTATTTATAGCAGTTTTGCTATCTGTTTAACTTATTAAAGTAGGTCAAGTAAAGATTCTCTGTGAATGTCATATAAATGTATGGGGCGTTTAATGTTAAAATTTTAGGTATTTCTAGTTTTATTTTTAAAAAGTTATTGAGGTCGATTTACTTATTAAGTGACCTGCTTTCAATATCACTTTAAAGTTTTTTGATATCTCTTATGGGATAATTGCCTGGGCACACTTAACGATTATACGCTGTACAATATATCACCCAAGGAGCACACTTTATACGCCTTAAAACTGTTATATCTATAAACAGTCTTAATATGATATTGATTTAGATAATAGTTCTCTATAAATGGTTTTAAAAAAAAGAAATTGTTCTTATAGACTTATTTCACCCAAGTCAAAATTTTAACACCTTCTTAATACCAAGCAACATAATTAAGTGCAATCTCTCTTAAGATTTACTCTTATAGTCCTTATTTTAAGTTCATCTGTAGAACAACTGGTTATTTTTAGTAAAATTGTTTTATACAAATCCAGTAAAGTCTATTAATACTCTAAAAACTAGTATTCTTAAGGTTATTCTAGATATAATTAATTTATAGACATTCTGTAGTGTTTGTACTTATGAACAAACACGTTATAGCGCGTCTTCAGTAGATTTTATTTAAAAAAATACTACAA